CTTACTGTAATAAGATAATTTTGTATTTGAGCTCCGACGAGACTGTCTAAGGAATAAAAAAAAAAAAAAAAAAAAATCTGTTTGGAAAGACCCAAGTAAGAAGGTAGTGGATACTTTTGATAGTGCTACAAAAAGGTTAAATTTGGAAGTGATGACTGAGATTGATGAACTAAATGACAACAAGATTCTAAAGTAGGAGGATCCACCAATCTGATCACCAATTGAAGAGAAAGCTAACACACCAACCTAGTTAGCTAGCATGGGAAACTAGGGTTGTTATCCACTGTGACTAGGATTTGGGAGTTAGATTCTACCTGATGACAAGGGCTGGATAATCCCTGGAAACTAACCAGACCTAATTGGAAGAAAAGAACATGTGCTATAAAATTATGTACCATAATAAGACAGAACACAAAGCACCTAGAGCCTAGCCAGAGTTAAATTTTCTAGATTACAGATTAGGAGTAAGAGAGGGACCAATAAGGCAAGAATAAAAAAAGAAAAACTCAAATGTGAGTACTGGGGTTGAAGTGAACCTTACAAGGGCATAGCAGTTTAATTAAGTTATACCAAACTGCAAGTGGGAGCCTTGGCAACTGCTATGACTAGGTTAGCCAAATACAAAATATGAAAAGCTTTAGTAGGTTTACCTTGAGAATAGCCATGCATCTGCTTAATAGAGGAATGCAAGCCAGTAATTAGTCAGTGCAAATCCAGGATAAGTCATGGAAGTCCTAAGGCAGGGTGGGCAATCTAGTAGAATGAGCCAGATGGTAGTTCCTAGGTTAGTATGATATGCTAAAAATAGTTAAGATCAGAAGGTTTAAACAGGTAACTCTCTAGTTGGGTTATAGATATGGCATTTAGTGTAGAATCTGTAAGCAGACTACTTAAATAGACACTCAAAAGGTACACGTGTGGCTAGTTGTATCTTCATTGTAACTGTAATAGTAAAATGATTACTAATAAAGAATCCCTATGGCCAAAGAGGTCACCTTAATACCAAAAATATATATGTCAAAATAATAAAATTTTTCTTTTTAAAATATAATCTAAAAATTATTATTTTTTAAAAAATATGAAAAATTAAGTATTTTATTAATCAATTTCAAAACTTTTAATCTATAATCAATTTCTAACATATATTTAATATCTAAATTGCAAACAAAAGTTTAATATATTGTAACTTATAATATTTCTTACTTTATTAAAATTTAACAAATCTGCTACCTGGTATTAGTAAAGGGTTGGGAGTCTTACTTGGTGAATCTAAAGTTATAAACTAGAGGGTTTAAATAATCCTTTTTTCTTTTACTATTTGTTCTAATTTTGCGATTCATCTTTTTGAGGTTGCATGTTTGTCGCGATCATAATGAAAATCGGATTAAATAAAATGATCTCCTAATCACATGATCAAACCATAGCATATGTATATGTACATAATCATAAATATCACATAATAAATGGTATTTCCCTAATTATTCGAAAATAAACAATATAAATATAAATGCTAGACATATATTATTCATTTCTATTATCCAGCTGCTTTTTTAGTAACAATTTGAAAACATTAAAATTCTCTAAAACAAATTTATTTGTATTAGATGTCAATATCATTTTCAACAACCACCAACATAAATTTTTCCACAACCTGAAAACTTGACTCAATCGAATCGACTTCATGAGAATTATAACCTAGGTCATTATTGCATATTATTCCTTTGTTTTCTTCCTGAGATCTTATATCATAAACACGCTGAAGTACTTTAATTATGGTCTTCCCGATATCATTTTTGTAAGGGATTCCCCAAAAATTAGCATCTGCTGTATTAAAATGGAGCCATTCGGGAAGCAAGCTATTATTTGGTTCAGTGACAGCCTTAATGAATAAGCGGCGTTTATGATGAGCAGAAGAATTGATTAAATTTTTAACAGAATATTGAAATAAACCGCCTAATTTTGCGTAAAGTATTGGCATATCCGATTTTGTAAGTTTAACGTTTAGTTCATTCTTTACGCCTGTCGATGAGACGGTCTGAGTGATATTATCACATGAGGCCGTGGCAGACGAAACTGAATAGATGGAAGAAGTAGTTCTTTTAATAAATTTGAGTGGAGGAACAGCAGGTGTATATGAGCCGATGTCTATTTGATTTGGAGTCTGTAATTCGGAATCATTCAATTTAGAAGTGCCCGGTAAAGAAATGCCTAAACCAAAAGAATCCGAAAATGCGGCATTTTTTAAATTGTAAGTTCCAGAATTGCTATCCTTTAACGGAAATTGATCCATTGCGCCATCAGAGAACAAAGTTGATTTATTATAATGAGCTTGGTCTAACTCTTCATGAGGTAGGATTCGATCACATACATCACATCTATCTCTTCTGTATAACCTTGAATCATTTGGTTCATTAAGTGGATAAGACTGAGACATTTCAACAATTCCATCATTATCTTGTCCACGATGTTTTGGAGTCACGGAAAGGAAATTGGGTTGTTTGCGTAAAGTAATTTTTTTAGTCCTTTTCTTCCACTTCTTGAAAAGAATAAAACCAAACACAGAAAGAACGCAGATACCAAATGCAACGGATAAAACAGTGATTACTGCTAGAATTTTTGGTGGCATGTAATTAATGCACATCCCACCCTCGCAGTTTGAAACAAGAATGTGCATAGTGGTATTTGTGCTTCCGTACCCAGGATCTAAAATGTGTAAATGTATAGTAGTGTTTGGAGCAGCATCATTAGGTGGTGTTCCAGATAATTTTCGTAATTTATCATCAAATTTAACCCATTTTTCAGCATTAGTCGGAACAAAACTTGCGGAAAAGATCAATCTGCTTGTATCACCACCATTGGATAGAACGATGTAATAAGAAGTTGTAGGAATTGTATATTGAAAAAATGTATTTATGAAAGTTTGAATATCAGGTAAAGGTCTCACGATTATCGGACCGTGCATTTCAACTTGTGGCATTGTTGAGGATAATACTGTTTGTTGTTTAGAAGGTAACTCTTCGAAAATATCAGAAAAATCAGGAATAATAAAACTGTTTGGTGCCATCATTTTTACTATATATATACAATGTATATGTTTTCCTAACTTTTTTTTGATCGCCTTAAAAGATCAACACCTTTATTTATTAGAATCGCACGGATATGCGTTTTGTGATTGATGATGATAAATGCACTGTATCTGATATGATTTATGGATAATATAAGTTGTTAATGATTTAATGACGCGACAAGTTGTATATATATTATAAATATAGTCTTTTAATGAAATATAAACAAATTATTTCAAATTAATGAAATCGGCTCCGAAAAATTTTATCAAAGACGTCCGTTAGGTTTAGCGAATATCTATAAAAAAAAAAAAAATTATCCCAAAAAATTTCCTAGGTCGATAACGCTAAGGCCTTAAATGGCTATTATCAGAAAATAGTATGCCTGGACTTTAGATTAAATATAAGGTCGAATGTAATAAATAATTATTAAGTTCCTGTAAGTAATAATAGCTACAGGCGAAATAAAGAATAATTACCTTGCAAATTTTATGGCATTATTAAAAACTTATCTAAAATTATGTGCAAATCATGTGCTCCTTCAACTGAGGACATCTTCCGTATCCAGGGTCGCACTCTCTGCAACTTCGAACCTGAGACCTTATTTTCGACAAATAGACCAAATTTATCGACCAAAATTCTAGAATCCATGAAATTGATAAATGGGAAATGAACTAGAAAAACGGTTGAAGGGTATTTATTTATTATCCAGAGCGTAGCGGAGAATATTATGGGAAAGTAAAGACCAGATTTTATTGTTATAATAGATTTAATTTTCAGCTAGCCACTGAATTTTTAGTTTCGGATATAATTGTCTGTTTTCTAGCACCAGTAAATACAGATATAGACCATTATATAAATCCGTGAGCTAGTAGAACACTGAATATATGAAAATAGCAGCGTTGGCATAAAAATTCGATTGAAAGCTTTAGTGCTTCAATTAATAACATTACTTAAATAGTGTTACTCGGAGAAAACAAATGCTTAAAAAAGGATTTTTATTATAGCAATTCAAATAGTGATGCAAACTATGCTCATGATTAGTGTTCCGACCCGGGTCAGATAATAGTGACCCGACGGGTCAGACATTTAGCCCGGGTCATGACCCGGGTCAACGGGTCATATGAATAATTATGACAATCAAAGTTTTTTATCGCTCTTTTTCGATTTAGTTGGATCAACGATCTGCATAATTTTTTTGGAGTCCCGTGAGTCCTGTGAGGGTATCACTTCAACTTCGTTATATTTTGTAGAACTCATTTTAGAATTCTTATATTTAAAAAAAATATGACGAACATAAAGTAGTTTTCTATTGTGTATTCACGGACTCAAAAAACATTATGCAGGTCATCCATCAGCGAAATATAATAACGTAAACTTACGTAAGTTATTACGCCCCGAAATATTGCGCAATAATTACGGTCTAGGCAAAATATTGCGCAAGAAATTGCGCAATATTGCGCAATAAATTACGTAATATTACGTGATAAGTCGCGTAATATTACGCAATAAGTCGCGTAATATTATGCAATTTATTACGAAATATTATGCAATTTATTATGGAATATTATTTCAAAATAATAAATTTGTAACCACGGTTATTTAACTGTATTCTATAACATCATTATATCCTTTATTTTTTATTAAACGGCAGTTAATGATATTTATATGATATCTACTTGAAATTGATAAGATTATTACATCATAATACACTAATTATATGGTTCGAATTATAAACTAATTTTATTTATTTTTTAAATAATATTACAGGTTCGAAATTGTTATATCTAGCAAATAATACAATCGTTATCCAAAACAATTCTATACAAGAAGCAACGAAGAGAAATCAGAAACCCACAAGGGTGGTAGTTAAACGTGTTCAAGAAAGAAATCGAAATCAAACAACAAAATATATAGTATTCATAAAAGCCGGAAGCATAATTCTATATGAAGAAGCAATGAAGAGAATTTTGAAACTCACCTAGAAAGAGAAGGGTGGTAGTTAAACGTGTTCAAGAAAGAAATCGAAATTAAACAACAAAATATATAGTATTCACAAAAGCCGGAAGCATAATTCCATACGAAGAAGCGATAAAGAGAATTCCGAAACCCACCTTGAAAGAGAAGAGTGTGTTCAAGAAAGAAATCAAAATCAAACAACAAATATATAGTGTTCACAAAAGCCGGAAGCATAGTTCCATACGAAGAAGCGACGAAGAGAATTCCGGAACCCTAGTTAAACGTGTTCAAGAAAGAAATCAAAATCAAACAACAAAATATATAGTATTCACAAAAGCCGGAAGCATAGTTCCATACGAAGCGACGAAGAGAATTCCGGAACCCACCTAGAAAGAGAAGGGTGGTAGTTAAACGTGTTCAAGAAAGAAATCGAAATCAAACAACAAAATATATAGTATTCACAAAAGCCGGAAGTATAATTTCATACGAAGAAGCGATGAAGAGAATTCCGAAACCCACCTGGAAAGAGAAGAGTGTGTTTAAAAAAGAAAACAAAATCAACTAACAAAATATATAGTGTTCACAAAAGCCGAAAGCATAGTTCCATACGAAGAAGCGATGAAGAGAATTCCGGAACCCACCTAGAAAAAGAAGGGTGGTAGTTAAACGTGTTCAAGAAAGAAATCGAAATCAAACAACAAATATATAGTATTCACAAAAGCCGGAAGTATAATTCCATACGAAGAAGTGATGAAGAGAATTCCGAAACCCATCTGGAAAGAGAAGAGTGTGATCAAGAAAGAAATCAAAATCAACCGACAAAATATATAGTATTCACAAAAGCCGGAAA